GCCCCGTCCCAGAGCCAGCCACATTTCCAGGCCGGGCAAGGGGTCCCCGGGTAACCAGCCCCCCGCCCCACCCCAGAGCCAGCCGCACCCCAGCGCTGGGCGAGGGGTCCCTGGGTAACCGCCCCCCGCCCCACCCCAGAGCCAGCCGCACCCCAGCGCTGGGCGAGGGGTCCCTGGGTAACCGCCCCCCGCCCCGCCCCAGAGCCAGACGCATTTCCAGGCCGGGGAGCCGTACCTCAGCGATGGCCTGATCCGCTGACTCCATCTTCTCATATGTGACGAAGGCGCAGCTGGGGGGCAAGATGTGAAAGGGGAGTCACTGGCCCCACCCCCTTTAACTCCTCCCCATTATTTCCAGCCCCACCCATCCTTCCTTTAGCCCCTCTGTGACTTAGCCATGTCCTAGCCCCTCCCCTAATTCCTCCAATCCCACCCACCTGACCTAGCCACGCCCACCTCCCAATACAGGCCCCTCCCTTTGCCCCACCCCTCTGCTTTAGCCCTACCCCTGGTCCCGCCCTCACTTGCGGGGGTTGTCCATGGAGAGGTCGATGATGGTGCCGAAGGGGGAGAAGGCGCCGCGCAGCAGGCTCTGGGTCATGTCAGTGCCGTACACGTAAACTGTGTTCCCCTTGCGCGGGGCGCGCCGGTCCGGGAACGAGTCCGACCCTGCGGGAGACGGGGTCAGAGCCGCCAGGAGAACAGAACCCAGGAGTCCGGCCTCCCAGCCCCCCCTGCTCTAACCCACCAGCGAGAGAACCCAGGAGTCCTGGCACCCAGTCCCCTGCTCTAACCATCAACCCCCATTCCCCTCCCAGAGCTGGGGAGAGAACCCAGGAGTCCTGGCACCCAGTCCCCTGCTCTAACCATCAACCCCCACTCCCCTCCCAGAGCCGGGGAGAGAACCCTGGTGCCCAGCCCCCGTGGTCGCGTACGGCGGAAGCTGCCGTCCCGTTCACGGTCACGGTCCCTCTCGCGGTCCCTCTCCCGGCTCCGCTCCCGGCTGCGCTCCCGGTCGTAGTCCCATTCGAAGGTGCGCAGCCCCTCGCCGCGCTCCGGCTCCTTTTCGGGGTCCCGCTCGTCCTCCGGCTCCTTCTCGGGGTCCCGCAGGCGCTCGCTGGAGCTCACGAAGCTGCGGCGGGGCGGGATCGCACGCTGGGGTTACGGCAGAGTCGCTGGGGAGCTGCCCCGGCCAGGCCAATACGGCGGGGAGGCGCGCGGGGGCCCGGGGCAGTTACAAGGCAGCGCTCGGGACCCCGGAGCGGTTACATGAGGGGAGTTTGGGGCAGTTATGGGGGAGCGTGAGGGGGCCTGGGGCAGTTACGGGAGGAGCGCGCAGGGCAGTTATGTGAGGGGTGTTTAGGGCAGTTATGGGGGGGGCACTCGGGGCAGTTATGGGGCAGCACTCAGGACCCCGGGGCAGTTACGTGAGGGGTGTTTGGGGCACTGCTCGGGACCCCAGGGCAGTTACGGAGGGGCGGTTACGGGAGGGGTGTTTGGGGCAGTTACGGGGTGGGGGGAGGACGCTCGGGGCAGTGCTCGGGACCCCGGGGCAGTTACAGAGGGGTGCGA